TGACCAAAGTATCTAAATGGGTTATGAAGATTATACTTAAAACATACATTTAAACATTAGACATATTGATGCTAAATCCACTATTGTTTTAAATAGAATTGTTCTATACAGTATTTAATGCAATTATAGAAAAAGAGTAATCCATTACTTGACTTGAGCTAAAATGCATCAACTAACATTGAACAGTTGTATTTTATTAAGTATTTAATTAATACTGTAACAAATGCATTAATAATTAATGCATTAACTATTGGATCCTTACTGTAAAGTGTTACCACTAACTTTTTATGGCTCTATTGCAATACATCTTCAATCTGCATGTAATGTTTGCCGTGTCAAAGATGGCTGTTCACGGTTGCTCAACTAATCTCCGAGCACACACAGTCTAAATCATCTTTCTGCCCAAAAACAAACCAAGAAACAGTGCTCTGGCCTCCCTTTGCTTTAGTGCATGTTGGAGTGGAAACTACAGAAAGCAACTGATTAAAATTGATCTTACTGTAAATTTGTCATCGCCGCAAAATGCAGATCATTCTCTTACAGCAAAGGGGAGATTTCCGGACAAGACACAAACACCTGGAGGAAAGCATGGTGAACACACACACACACACACACACACACACACCTCTCTCGGTCGTGCAGCAGGCAGAACCCATGGCCAAACGCGTCCCAGTCTCTACAGAGTCCCATCACAGGGCGCGCGAGGAGCCGGCGGGACCGTGCGGGGCGAGCGCGGGCCGTGAAGCTGAAGATGATGAAGATGAAGAGCTCATAATCCCTCAGCTGATGCTGAATCTAGTGCCACTTGCGGCTTTTTTCATTTAGTCTGCAGGACAGCTGTGTGCCGCTCCGGGAAACAATCACGGATTATGCCTCCTCAGATATTTATTTCTGTTCCTTTTGATTGATTTATTTATGTGAACGGCTCCGGCATAATCCCGCTCTCACTGAACATTGTTTTTCGTTGTTGCTTTGACTTAAAAACACAATACTCTTTAAGTCAAGTCAACATATAGGGCAGAAATGCCTGTTTTTTGTCCTCTTTTGGAAAAGACCAGCCACCTTTGTATAGAGTCCATATTTACAGATATTACAAATATAAAACACTGACACTTTACAGTAAGGTCCCATTAGCGTTAATACATTAACAATGCATTTGATATAGTGTGTATTACTCTAAACACAGCCCAGGTCCATTTAATGTTAATAGATACAACTATTGAGTTAGTATTAGTAAATGCTGAAATTAACATTAGCTAAGATTAGTTCCTGTAACTAATGCCAACATTATTGTAAAGTGTGAACTAAAAAACAATAGTTTTTTTAGTTCACACAAAGGTTTTTGGAGCGATACCATAAAAGAAACATTTATTCTCAGTATGAAGAGCATTTTAATAATCTAAAGGCACTTTAGTGGGTCGGTGGATGTACAAGATTCTTCATGGGCCATCGCTTCCAATAAAGTACCCCGTACTGAATCATATTTCATGAAGAAACGCACACTTATGTGTAGGCCACTGAACATCTCATGTTTGTGTTCAACATCATCCACTTAGAAAACAACAGAGCAAATGCAGAGGAAAATATCTCAGTGCAGCTTTGGCTGGTCATCAGTCTTAATCCTGCGGGTCCTGGGATTAGTCCAGTCGCTACTTCACATTAAGACATGCCCAGTTCACTACAGCACATATTATACAGCACATATGAAGAGTTCAGATGTAAAAGCCTCTAAATGCCATTTGAAATTTTCTTCTTTAATGATGATTTTTATCAAACTTGTATATTTAAGTTCAGTAATTTCAGTTAAATAACAATTAATAGGTAATTATCATTGCCATTTAAGTGAAATCACTGAACTTAAATATACAAGCTTGATAAAAATGATCATTCTAGAAGAAAATTTCAAATGGCACTTGGAGGCTTTTGCATCTGAACTCTTCATATATCTACAGCACATACAGTATATCTATAGCACATATATCTACAGCACATATATCTACAGCACATATATCCACAGCACATATATCTACAGCACATATATCCACAGTTATCCACAGTTAGATACGGCCTGTTACACTCAGTCCGATGCCATCTCTGCACTCACCTACATCACTTTCTCTGTGCTTCTTAATGAGCTCTGCCAGCTCGAAGTTCCCAGAGATGATTGCCACCTGCAACACAAGCAGAAGCTGCTATGATTCAGTTCATGTGATTTCATAAAGTTAAAGAAATCCCCGCTGAATCTGCCCTGGAGTCACGCATGCTTGAGGCAATCTTCACACGAGTCCAAAATGCTCTTCTTCCTCAGAGTTTCTGACTCGTTTTCCAGCACAAATATCCAAACATTCTTAAATCAAGACACATTTACTGGAGAAGCATCAGAAAAATAATCTTGTTTTCCTTTTGAATGCATATTTTCTGTCTCTACTGGCAGAAGTTTGTTCTTGTTTTAGCCACAAACTCACTTCATTTTGATGATTTTTTCTTTGGAAAACAAGTTATCTTAAATCTTTTTGCTTCTCCAGTATATGTATTCTTTTTATTTTTAATAGAGACATAAATACTAAACAATATACTAAACAATATATATATACTCTGAAAAATGCTGGGTTGTTTGAACCCAATCAAATATGGTTTAATATGGACCAACCCAAATATTGGGTTAAAAAATTAATTAAAAATTTTACTGTTGAAAGTAACATTTTAAATATCATTTTTAACCCAACATATTTGACCCAAATGTGGGTTGAAACAACCCAGCATTTTTAGAGTGTATATATATATATATATATATATAGATTGCAATTTTTCAACGATGCTAGTATTGACACTTCATCTGTTAAAAAACAGCATCAATCACAACATGTCAATAGTAAAATAGAATGCATGTGTAGAGTTAAATATTCCACACCATACTAGAGAGTGCATCTAAACTGAGGCGACGAGTGGAGAAAACACAAGAGGAAACACATCCGATGGTAAAATCTCAGGATTTAACAGTGAATCTCGTTCTTGAGGTGATTATTTTCCTTCTTCTCAGTTCTTCTTCTGAAGCGTCTAACACTGGTTTGGGTGACTCTGCACATGCGTGCTGGATCTGTAATCCCAAGAGGACTTCTAACAGGAGATTTGTACCTCACCATCTGTAGCCTTTAATCACAGTTCATCCACAAACTACTGTAAAACACACACACACACACACCGAGGACCTAAAATCCTCAAACTTGACCTCATGATCTCCAATCAGTCCCTGATCTATGTCAACACAGCAGAACATATTTACACACACTGCCTTCCAAAAGCATTCAGAATGTGTACTCTTGAATAATCTCTCATTCAGACGGATTCGGTTCTCTCGGAGCGATGGAAATGAATGATGCAGAAGGACATGTGCATGTTTTAGTGTTCTGTGTAAATGACCCCACCCCTGAACGTTCCCATTCAGATCCTCCTTCACTTCAGTCACGCCCACATCTCAACATCCAATCAACAACTGATGCACAGAGCCAAGCCCCGCCCTACATTTTTTTTTTTCTTTAGGATAATCTTTTATGTCACAAAATGGTAGAAACTATCTTCTGCCCCCTGCAGAATCAGATCAATGATTTAGGCAACCTAAACCTAATTTTAACATCCAAAAGGCAGATTTCAGAGGAAAAGCTACACCTAAACTATCATTCAATCAAGTCAACGGGAGAGCTTTGCGCATCCGATATACTGTATGTGATGTGCCTTTTGCATTCAAAGAGCATGGAAGAAGAAAGCATGAACTTGTGCCATAGATATGCAAAGATCTGTGACAAGTATTATACACTCACCTAACGGATTATTAGAAACACCAGACTAATACTGTGTTTGACCCCCTTTCACCTTAACTCTACGTGGCATTGATTCAACAAGGTGCTGAAAGCATTCTTTAGAAATGTTGGCCATATTGATAGGATCGCATCTTGCAGTTGATGGAGATTTGTGGGATGAAGCTCCCGTTCCACCACATCCCAAAGATGCTCTATTGGGTTGAGATCTGGTGACTGTGGCGGCCATTTTACTACAGTCAACTCATTGTCATGTTCAAGAAACCAAAATGATTCCAGCTTTGTGACATGGTCATTATCCTGCTGGAAGTAGCCATCAGAGGATGGGGACATGGTGGCCATAAAGGGATGGACATGGTCAGAAACAATGCTCAGGTAGGCCGTGGCGTTTAAACGATGCCCAATTGGCACTAAGGGGCCTAAAGTGTGCCAAGAAAACATCCATTACACCATTACACCACCACCACCAGCCCAACAGTGGGAACAAGGCATGATGATCCATGTTCTCCTTCTGTTTACGCCAAATTCTGAATCTAAACAGTCAGAATGGAAGTTGAAGCACACTGTGAAACACACTGAAGTGGAAAGTGAGGACGCACCTGGAACGGACTCTGGCTGTTGTGGTTCTTCACCTCCTTGTCGGCTCCTCTGACCAGCAGCACACGTGTGCACTTCTCCTGCAGAAGTATAAACACATTCTCAGCCTCATGTCTGATATTTCTGACCAGTTGCATGAGACTCAGACTTCAGATCAGGGCTTCCTCAAGCACACCTGTATATCCCACTGTGTTTTCAAAATGATGCATGAAATAATCAGTATTTATTCTAGTAATCTCTTTGTGTTCTGCTGTCACATTATACATGATTTGATAAAGCTCACACTGCTCTATTATGTGCAGAAAGGGTTTGAAGGCATTTTGTTTTGTTGTGTAATCCTAAAACCGCTTCAGTACAACGGTGTGTGCTTCTTCATTAGCACCACCTACAGTCAGAAGGTGAATCTGCACTTCAATTAAGCCCATCTGCTGCTTTTGTTCAGATCGATGCAGGAACAATATAATTTAATATCAATAATTGATATTATTGAAAACAAAATATAATCATTTATATTTGACTCACCCCTTTTAAAAAAACAAACAAACAATGGTTTAAATGATGAAATGTGAGGTTTATCTTTTTATAAAACGGTTTATGTTCAAAACCAATCATTATTTTTACCATCATTATACAGTTTTTGATGTTACCATTCATGTAAAACCAAATTGCCACCACAACAATTAGTTTTATTTTAATAAAAAAATTATATTTTTAACCCCCCTAATGCATTAAAACACCGTATCCGTATCCACCTTTTGCATTTGAGCATATCTTAGCATTTTACAAATAAAACCATTCAGCAACTTCTCATTAAGGAGTGAATGCATTCAAATTTTAAAGATTTTATTCTGACCTATTCTGATTTTCAATAACTACAGCAAAAACCAGTGTGATGCAAGAAAATATTTTTTGAAATGAGAAATTGTATTTGAATATATTATTAGATTTAATTTATATGAACATATAATATGAGCATTACTATAATCTCCATTGATTTCAAAGGATTTAAAATAATTTGAAACTTATAATTCATGACTGCTCAAAACAGTCAACATTAATAAAACCTACACATTCTTTGTCTAACGAAACAACATCAATATTTCTGTAAGGTACTTACAGAAACTGAAATTGCGTGTGTGCATCATCCTTCCTGACTCCCACTTATGTAACAAAAGCCCACTTAAAGTTCAGTAGTTTACCTGTTTACTAAACAGTATATAATGAAATGCAGTAGGTAAGTGTACAGCTGTAAACACACACCTGGTTGTAGAGAGCACAGATGTGCAGCGCCGTGTTTCCCGAGGCGTTCTGTGCGCTCATGTCTGCTCCGTAAAACAACAGATGCTCGAGGTGTTGGACAAGACCGCGTCGACAAGCCTGTTACAACACAAACACACACTTTGCTATCATTATGGTGACATTCTATAGACTGTTATTCTTTTATATACGGCTAATTATACACATTCTTGACTAATTGAACTAATTGAATTTTTATCCATTCGTCTACGAGCGCATTTGTGAGGTCAGGCACTGATGTTGGACGAGACGGCCTGGCTCTCATTTATCCCAAAGGTGTCCTATCGGGTTGAGGTCAGGACTCAAGCTCTTGCACAGAAAACAAAACTCCTCGTCCATGTGTTTATGGTCTGCTTTGTGCACTGGAGCACAGCCATGCTGGAACAGGAACGTCCACAAACTCTTCCCACAAAGTTAGGAGCATGAAACTGAGTGAAGATTGAAGAGTTTCTTTCACTGGAACTAAGGGGCCAAGCTCAACCCCTGAACAACAACCCCACCTGGTGGATCTCATGCCACCCGTTCTCGTCCTGGCAGCAGACGGAGGCGTGCTGGTTCAGCAGCAGCTCACAGCAGTGTGTGTGTGTGTCTCCGTCCGCCAGGACCGTGTGATACAGTGCCGTCAGACCTCGACTGTCTCTGTAATCCGGAGATGCTCCGAGCTCCAGCAGGGTCTGAAACAGGGGAAATATACCATTCATCATCCTGCTTTCCCATCTGCAGTTTCAGTTCCCTGAATAAAGTTTAGATTATAGTGCATGTTGTATACCTTGAGCGCTGGCTGGTTTTTAGCGTGAGCAGCTTTATGTAGAGCCGTCATGCCGTCTTTATCCCTGAAGTCCAGATGAGCTCCTCCGTTCCTCAGAGCTTTAATAAACTCCAGCTTATTCTCCAGCTGCACCGCACAGGTGAGGGGAGTCTCTACGACACACACACACACACACACACACAGTGAATGAGTCGGTGAAGGTACGGCGATCTCAGACTCGTGCGTTTCTGCTCCTCCAGTACCTCCAGTCTCTGTGTCCTGGTAGTTTGGGTCGAGTCCTCTGTCTAGCATTCTGGAGAACTTCTCGAGCTCATGATGCTGGATGTAATCCATAAACTTCTTCACGCTGGCCTGGAGAGATACAATATGGCAAGAAATAAAGCCATTAGATACATAAATGCTTGCAGAGATGCATCAACAGCTCATATCAGATACCTTACTTAAAGTAAGAGTTTATCGTGACTTTAATCCGTCTGATGTCCGATGACTCGCATGTGTCAGTCAGGGTGGAGAAAACTCTCCAGATCCACCGGATCTTATGCGTCTTTGCTCTCACCTTCGTGTGAAGTCTGGCGATCTGCTTCTCATCCACACTGGACTGACTCTTGTATAGTCTGGTTTTGTAGCGAAACTGCAGGAACAAAGAAGCTTCTCAGGGTTTTATTGCAGCAATTGCATGATAGCATATATTTATAAACCCTCAGAATAAAGACATTCCCGCTCTTATGGCTCCATTAAGGTGTGTGTGCTGTAGTCTGAAGGGTAACACTTTAGAATACAGTTGCTTCGTTAATGAATAACTACACAAGAACTAATGAGTAACACAATCTAGTAACTATTATTAACTAACAATAAACTCTGATTAACGAATTAGTAAGTAATAGCTCACAGATGAAAGTGTTACTAGATACTTCTGTGGGAATTACTAAATATTTGGATCCGTATTATAAAGTGAAGATCATTGGAACTAACTAGTAACTACTCAAGTATTACATGATTTGTGCAAATGTTTGAGATTTTTTGGTGAACTTTAGTAACTTTTAGAAAATGTCTTTAGTAACACTTGAGTAATTACTAGTTCGTTCCAATGATCTTCACTTTATAATACGGGTCCAAATATTTAGTAATTCCCACAGAAGTATCTAGTAACACTTTCGTCTGTGCGCTATTACTTACTAATTCGTTAATAAGAGTTTCTTGTTAGTTAATAATAGTTACTAGATTGTTAATAAACTTTTTCAGTAGTTCTCTGGGAAGTATTAAAAAAATAGTAGTTATTGATTACTTAATAGTGAACTGCCACTTTCGTCTGTGCGATATTACTTATTAGTTTCTTGTTAGTTAATAATAGTTACTAGATTGTTAATATTGTGTTACTCATTAGTTCTTGTGTAGTTATTCATTAACGAAGGAACCGTATTCTAAAGTGTTACCGTCTGAAGTGATCATGCTGTTGGAAGTTATGCTAATGCATTTTATAATGATGATGCTAAATGTTAATTTATGCATAAATTATAAAACATGTAGTTATTCATGTATGAACACATATGACTCCAGTCGTAGTTAAAGCTAACTCTCGTTATAAGTGACTCAAAATCACAGTGCGTTTACTGAGACAAACTGCGCATAACTAATAATCATAGTCTTTGCAATTTCATAATCGCGATAAACCAAATCATTTCCACTGCGATTTCATGTAAATTTGCGACTGGTCGTGCAGCCCTATTATTTCACAAATCAGAGTAAAGTAGTATGCGTATTTTGGCGTGCTGTCCGCGAGAGGCTCAGAGCTCGGTATTGTGTGGTATTGTAACCCGGCGAGTGCGAGGAGGCGGGGTGGTGGAGGGCCGCTGAAAACTGTCGAGGAACATAGGCGAGTCGACTGTGTGTAAGGCCTCCTCTCATTTTGCTGATTGGGTTGATTATTGATGGTTAACAGCTGGTTGGAATGACGTGATGATTGGATAGATCATTTGAACTTTGTAAAAATGAAACATAATAAAGTGTCACCCTGCCGGCTGCTGAATCGGCCTGTACCTCCAGTGACGGGACGCCCTCGCAGGCCGGCAGGGGATGTTCCCCGATCAGACTCTCCTCATCCAGGAATTCCCCGTCTCTGCCGTCACTGGCCGGATGGAAGAGGCCGTAGTTCAGAACATCCTTCAGATTCTGACTCAAAGTGCACAGGATCAGCCGTTTAGCAGCCCACACAGTGTCATCGGGGTTAAACCTCATGCTTTCCTGTCGAAGGAAGCCATTAAAGACACCACGAAATCAAAAGTGATTATGCTTTCTTTAAGGAACATTGCAGTGTTTATTATAAATGGTATATGGGTGTACATCATTATTGTCTTAATAATCTTGAATCAGAATTACAGTGACATCTCTTCTCTGATGACGAGGGCGGGGCAACCAAATTGATTTGCATATGCCGGCCTCCAGAGCAAGGCATCAACAAATAGTTATACATCATCGCACCATAGGCCCCGCCCAGCGGCGTTCAGTATCTTAACGGCTGACATTTAGCTACACTTAACGTGAGCGTTGCGTCAAAAACCAAACAGGAGCCATTATAATGCCTGACGCTGATACACTAATGGTGCGTTCACACTGGACGCGAATAGCGCGTCAGGCGCGAATGATTTCAATGTTAAGTCAATGCAAAGACGCGTTACACGCGTAAAAAATTCCTGCGGCGCGAATGAGGCGTGGCGCGGAAGACACGAATACGCCTCGTTCGTGCGAATAGCGCGAATTGAGTGTCTGGTGCGTTACGCGCGTTACGCGCGAATGATTTAGTTAGTGCCATTTGTGCATTCACGCGTTTGACGCGAATTCGTGTCTGCCGCCCGAGTTGAAAAATCTGAACTTTGGCGTGAATTCGCGCCGCGTTAACCAATCAGGAGCCTTCAATAAATTATTTTGTAATATGACTAAATGCATGGTGGGATTATGCACAACAAAGCAAATGTTTTATCACTTAAAACATTATTTCTATATACGAGACATGTTAATTTTGTATTGAATGTTATTCATTCCATATCTAGATTATATGAAATAGTATTATGATGTAAAGACAATCAACATATGTGCATAAGTTCGTGTCTGGACGTGAGAGAGAAAAAAAAAATTACAGGACAGGTTAATAACTTTTGGAAGCTGGCTCTATTTATCATCAAAACAAAAATAAATGACAGCTAGATTAGGTGGATGAGGCATGAGGTAAATGGTGAAACTAGCCAAACGGTTCACCTCGGAAGGGTCCAGCGGACACAGATATACGGCGGTAAATACAGAGCGGTAACTCTCTCGATGAATGCTCGGTCGACATAAAAACAATGGCCGCCAACGGATTTCAATTCTGACGCACGTTCGCTTCAAACTTTTGTTTTTATGCGCATCAGTTTCACTCTTGACACGCGAATTAACACAAAGTGGTCAAGCGTCAAACTAGACGCGTCAGGCGCGAATTTGACGCGCTATTCGCATCCGGTGTGAACACAGCATAATACAGGTGTGTGTTCAGATTCTGATGACAGGACAAATGGAGGAGTGAAAGGATGCTCGCTTTGATCGTCCAGTTTAAACAGCTGGTTTGAGTCTCTCTACAAACAGAATCCCAGTGTCAGAAATAAGTGGATGGTTTATTTTAATGGCTTAAAGTCGCCCCGGATCATCGCATCAGAGGATTTTATGCTTGTTCGGAGCATTTGACTGAGACACAGTTTAATGAAGATTTCGCAAAGAAACTTTTATTGAAAGATGAAACCATAAGTAAATGATTTCATATATCCATATGACATTCACTCAACCCCCATGTTTTACTCATTCACTCAAGGAAATATTCATCAGATATATAAACCCCAACGAGAGCCGTGAGGATAAACACACACACACACACTCACCGTTTGCTGCAGGTCTGGGATGAACACCCTCACGGTGAGCGAGTTGTTCTGGGTGTCTGCCGTGAGACTGCCGGGTCGCTCTGCTCGTACGGTCTCATAGACGGCCTCCTCTCGGGAACTGCGTGAGCTGGAGTCCTGTGAAGAGTCTGAGAAACTCTGGGCCATCTCTTCCTCGCTGGACGTCGGGCTCCTCGGCATATTCAGCTGACACACACACACACACACACACACACACCAGTCAATAAAAAAGCACCATCTACAGAAGCATTTTTATGAAACTCAAATTGTATGTAATGCATAACAGAGACTGTGTATTAGGGGAGGGAGTGGCAAATTCTGAGTTTGACTATTTGGTCTTGTATGGACACTGACAAAGTTCTCAATGCTTCGGTTTGAATGTAGGGACCATTATTATGCTAGCGTGTTAGTGTGGGGCTATTTTGAGCCTTGTCAGTGGTAATAACAAGCGATTTTTATTTGTCATTACTCTATGCCCCAAATACTAGCGTTATACTAGCATTATAGGCTGAACTGTTTTTAGAGATAAAACTATTTACATTCGGCAATCATGAAAACAAACCTCAGATAACGGTTGACTAGGTAACAATGTGTAATTAGACCAAAGGTTCATTTTGCGCCGGAGCTCTCCTTTTGATATGTGTTTGCATTGTGTATTTGTATTCTGTGTGTGCAATTCTTGGATTTGTGTATAAAGTTTTGAAAAAAAAAAAAAGCAAAGTCTTGAGAGTGAAAAAACACCTGTAATTGGTCAATGGGCTAGTTTTGATTGTTTTTTTGTAGATCTGGCAACCCTGGTCTCTTCCACACAGTTTCTGCTAAAGGATGGAGAATATAGGACACGGCACAGTGGAGCGCTTCCAAATAAAGCGTTTCTAATTGGAGATCTGTGCAGCAGATCTTCTGCACTCTTTCTCATGTAGTCCATTCATCTCTCTCACACACACACACACACATCATAACACAGATGCAGATAGCACAGAAGTCATAGAGTTCAAGAGCCGAACACGTGATGTGCTGTCCGTAACTGAAAGCGTGGTCTTAGATTGAGATGCCTTGTAAAGGAAGGAAGCAATGCATATAACTATAGTCTACAGGCCATGAACTAAACATATACACATGCAGACTGAAAGAAGAAGACGAGGAGGATCATATGTTATAATGATATTAATAAGCTCCTCCTGAACTTGATACACACCCATGTGCTATTCAGAAGACGAAAGAAAAACTGTCAACCATAGTAAACAGGTCCTGACTCCTGATCTGTCAAATGCATCTCTGGCACAAATACTGTTGCAATTATCCACGTCAGGCAATCAATCATAGCCTAGTATCAGCCAAGAATGTTTCAGCAATTTTTTTTTTTATCATTAGGTAAAGCATTAACATTAACAATGCACCACATTAAATGCAATGATTAAAAACAGTTATTCAGTTTACCTGAAAATCTTCAATGCTCCTTTCTGTGTGTGTGTTTAGAGCCACAGAACGCCCTGAAGAGGAGAAGACGCTCTTCATCAGCCACCGATTCCAGAGTGAGTCCTGATAAATCCTGCATGTCACTCAAATGACTTGAACAGAGCATCTGACCAATGCTTTCCTCCCGCGCTCATGTCTCTGAGCATCCGTGATGATGAGTGAGAAGTAGGTGAGATCCTATTAAAATAAATGAAAAGCAGAGTTGCTCCCATTGAGTTCGGCCCCTGGTGACGCGGCGCTGCGGATCATCCTGAGGTGAGTGTGTGTAGGTTATTTCAATAACAATAACAGCCACATCTAAGACTTAAAGGGGAAGCATTTATGAGAATGGGCAACTCATGACATGCAGATACTGCCAGATAAAGATACCAAAATATATATTTTTTTATAAAGCAGGTGCACAGAAACATTTGACACAGAAAATCATTTCAGGCCTGAAGTCACACACACACACACACACACACACACACACACACAGTGACACTGGAGTCTGCCAATATCCCAAAGCTCTGAAATCTGATAACATAATCGAGCTGATGTTGCAATATTTCTCAATATACATTCTAATGCTTGTCAAAACAAGCAAAGATAGACAAATGAAATAACTTGAAATAACAGTTTTGAATATGACATGTCTGATCTAATCCCTCCAAGGCAAATGCTGGATTTACTTCGGTTCATTCCTTCTGTTCATTATTCAGTTTAAGGATGTATGATTCAATTTAAATAACATTTTCAAAACACAGTCCTTTCTAAAGTGGTCAATGCAGCACAGACTTCTTCAAAACTGGACGGAGGAGGTTCTTGAACTCAAGATTACAACGTTGGGAAACTCATAAATCAGCATTTCCTGAGGCTGGTGATGTGAGGACACTCTCTAGCCCGAGACAGAGCTGATTTAAACTGGGACATTATCCAGGTCAGTCACTGCGAAGGGTTGAAGCAGAAGAACAGGAGCAGTCAGTCTTGGATAGGCTCTTACATAACAAACACTCTTGCGTGACCGAACAGTGAAATACAGGCGTTATTTCACATCATCAACACTAGACCAAAACTTCTCACACAAGTCATGTCTCTTATTTCTCTTCGCCAATAATGTGATGATGATTAGCCTGTCTGCTTCAGAAAAATACTGTGGCACTACTTTTTTTTACTGATTTTGCTTCATATTCAAAACAGGTTCAATTTCAATTAAACGCCCAGTAGGTGTGGCGATGTGCACTAATAATGTAATTGCCATTAAACAAAGCATGACGTCACAACAGTGGTAGAGGTGAATAAATAATCATATTCATATTCATATTCACACAGCTCAGCGTGTCCGTGATAATGACGTCGCCAGACTGCAAAGCAAACTCTAAACTAGTGCAAATGCTCCGTTTATATGTTTAAAGCCCGAGTTAAAGCAAACAGCAGAATTGAGATCTCAACAAACTACTAAATCAAACATTCCTCCAGCACGCATGAACTTCTCCATGTATAAGAGCCATGTATATTCTTGAATAGTATTGATATTTTAATCTGTGTCGTATGTATCTGTATTTATTTGTGCCGGGGGACTGCAGATGTAAATTAGCCTAAGGCTAACTCTGGTGTAATGCATCAAATGTTTACATTTATGTTATTAATTGCACATGGTCCCTTTAAATAAAAATCAATTCAATTCAATTCAATTCAATAAGAGTTTTCATCATAAACGCATATCATGGGATCAATTTACCTCGAGTTAAAAAAGCGGGAAATTAGAGTCTCAGTTCTTACTTTTCAAGATAAAAACATTCAGGCTGGAAGTTTGCAACCAAACGCAAGAGGGCAGCAGAGCATCGTCACGAGTCACGACACATGAACTCTGAACTCCAAACTGCAAAACTCGATCTCAAATGTAAATACCTGGGGGAAATAGGCCTATACTGTAAAAGTAATTCAAAATATATATTCCACTCATAAAAAGTGCTTTTATGAATATGGTACTTGTCTAAGAACAATATGAGGATTGTTTTTCCATATTCTGGATATCTTTCCATATATCTTTTTCCATATTCTGGAAAAATAAATCACGTCAAAATGTAGCTACAAGCAAATTTGAGGTTCACATAAAACTGATTGAATTAAAGAGTTTGTTTTTGATAATTCTGATCAGTCTTTGTTTCAATATGTTACAACATCTAAAAATTGAGCTGGAATACGTTTGAGAAAAATAATCAGTTGTCGATCAGTTTGTCAGGACAGTTTGCTCTTTGAATACTCTGATAATATGGTATGACCAGAGTAATTATTTTATAGCATTATAAATATATAGCCTACTTGTTTCTCTGACATAACTTATATCTAACAGAGGAATAGGTGAGTATTAATAGTGAGATGCGTTAATTGTATACAATAGGCTAGTGACACTGGCAAAACTCAGAAAGCAATTAGACACACAAAAAGTTAAAAATGAAGTCACATAATGAACTTCACATAAACACGACCTCAGTTTGCCCTGAAACCGAATGAAACGACACGTCGCAGCTTTAATTACCTCAGCTCTTTCTGATTATTACATTCGGTGTGAAAAGTTTACATGAATTTGTTATTGACAGCAGTGTTGGGTGAGTTACTCTAAAAAAGTAATTAATTACTAGTTACTAATTACCTCTTCAACAGTGTAATTAGATTACTGTACTAATTACTCTCTCTAAAAAGTATTTAATTACTTTTAATTACTTTCAAAATCCCATATCAATCTCAACCAGCTGAATAATACAAGGATAGACATGAATCTGTTTTAATTCTTTCAAATAAATACTATAAAATTGCATGAATTATCCTTAAACTGACCAAGGTGGAGAAGGTTACATTATAAAAACATACTTTTTAGCATCAGACAATACATTTTGATGTTAAACCCACTATTGTTTTATTTCTGATCTCATGACATTTCACACTTTTTTCATACATATTTTACAATAATTTATACGAATTTGTACGAGTGCGGTCGTAATATTTAGACACCTCATAAAATGCATATGAATCGCTGTGAGATCGGATTGATCTATACACAGTATTTACCTCAATTACATCAGAAGTAACTGTAATTAAATTACAGATAAATGAAGAGTAATCCTTTACTTCACATTTTCAAGGGAAAAGTAATTAAATTACAGTAACTAAGTACTTAGTAATTAGTTACACCCAACACTGATTGACAGCAAGGTGAACACAACCTTCGAGTCATAAACACTGACAGACCGGAGCTTCTGTGTTAGTTTAATTATTAATTCTAATAAAGGCCCAGAGCTAGGCTATAGTAAAGAAGAGCATCTCTGGTGTTTATGACAGAAGAACAGGAGGAGCGCAGAGAAGTGTTCATTCGGCGGACGCTTTAACGAGGATCCAGAGATTAAACATGAGAAGTGCTGCTAATGTAACGGGTTAAACTTCGCCTGGAAGAAGTCAAATGACTTTTGATATGATTCATTTAGCAGATGCTTTTATCTAAAGCTACAATTTAGAAAATCAGAAGTGAAAATCAGATCAGCATTCAGGTTCATGATCACCTCCATCATTTTACCAAATTATAGATTATTGCAGTTTTGTTCTCTGTGATATTTTGAAGTACAAGAAAATCAGACAATGCTGGGTCATTTAACTGCTGGGTTATTTAACTGCTGGGTCATTTAACTCCTGGGTTATTTAACTGCTGGGTTATGGGTTATTTAACTCCTGGGTTATGGGTTACTCAAATGTGGACTAATCCAAACTGATAAGGTTGAATAACTAGGTTTGTCCATATTTGACCCAAACATGAGTTGAAACAACCAATGCAGTATTTTTAGAATGTACTCTTTTTATTGTAGTCACACTCTTAAAAATGCTGGGTTGTTTCAACCCAATTTTTGGTCAAAGGTTCATGATCACCTCTATCATTTTACTAAATTATAGATTACTGCAGTTTTGTTCTCTGTGATACTAAAGTACAAGAAAATCAGACAATGCTGGGTTATTTAACTGCTGGGTTATTTAATTGCTGGGTCATTTAACTTCTGGGTTATTTAACTCCTGGGTTATTTAAATGCAGGGTTATGGGTTATTTAACTCCTGTGTTATTTAAATGCAGGGTAATGGGTTATTTAACTCCTGGGTTATGGGTTATTTAACTCCTGGGTTATTTAACTGCTGGGTTATTTAACTCCTGGGTTATTTAAATGCAAGGTTATGGGTTATTTAACTGCTGGGTTGTTTAACTGCTGGGTCATTTAACTCCTGGGTTATGGGTCATTTAACTCCTGGGTTATTTAACTGCTGGGTTATTTAATTCCTGGGTTATGGGTTATTTAACTGCTGGGTTATTTAACTGCTGGGTTATTGAACTTCTGGGTTATTTAAATGCAGGGTTATGGGTTATTTAACTGCAGGATTATTTCAACTCATGTTTGGCTCACATGTGGACTAATCCAAACTGATAAGGTTGAATAACTAGGTTTGTCCATATTTGACCCAAACATGAGTTGAAACAATGTACTCTTTTTATTGTAGTCACACTCTTAAAAATGCTGGGTTGTTTCAACCCAATTTTTTGTCAAATATGGACATATATATATGCATTTTTAATCCAACGTTTGGGTTTGTCCATATTTGACCCAAAAACTGAGTTAAAACAACCCAGAGAGTGCATTTTCCATAACTGTACAGGTGTTTAATCTGAAGGTGAGGATGGCCAGTGCTCAGTGTGACTTTAATAGCCAGTCCTCCTCTGCAGTCGCTGTATAAATAGTCGATGTACGCTGGTGTGTAGCGTGGTGTGCGCGTGGGCTGTGTGTGATTGTGAAGAGGGCACATCTGCCAAACTCCACACACACACACACACTCTCCTCAGATCACACACATGTAGGCCTAGTGTTGTACACTGATGAGTCACGAGGCTGAGTGGAGCGTGGGCTGGTCCTGATCCCCGGAGTCAGTCTTCGGATCAGGATTTCAGGATTCTGCCGTGAAAGCCCATCCGGATCCCGACTCGGTCCGACCGGTATCAGCGCATCGATGCCAATCCTCCTGAAGATAACACTGACAATCCAAGAACATTTCTGCCATCATGCTTTGGCAAATCTGAATTATCAGATGAAAACTC